ACTTAGATTGGACAAATCCCTGGAGACAGTTCTGGAGTAAGTCATATGCTAACTAAATTACATTTTAGGGCTCACAATATTAGGGTCCTCTAAAAAATAAAACAAACCCCCTCATTTCAAGTTTTATCTTAATCAGTTGATTAAAAAAAGGAGATATAGGAACATATTTTTTCTCTAAATATAGACATTTTTGTTCATATATGACAAAAATATAAGCATCTGGCTACACAAATTAACTTACGCCTACTCTTACGCCTCACTAATTGTTCATTATTGACTGTCAGGTGGCTAGGGTTGAGAAAAAAATGTTAATTCAACTTGTAAAATTAATACTTCTATAAGTAAGCCTGTTATCAGTCTACTAAGGCAACATTTTGTTTGCCAGCTGCTACTAGTGGAATTCTTACCATGCCTTCATCATTTATTTAAATAAATAAATAATCCCACTGCTGATAAAACTGGGGAAAATGTGAGGTTGGAGACTGCAGCATTGTGAAACGATCCTGCCAAGTTGTGACTCATATGGGACTTGTTCTAGGAATGATAACATGTATGGTGTCCCTCTTGGCTGGTAATAGCCAGAAGGCCATCATGTTTTATTTATGGTCCAGCACACAAAGTCGTATAGTGCCATTGTTCCTGTTTTTCTTTGTTTTACTAAGTGTTAGTGTGTTTTTTTCTTTTGATCTGTACATATGTACAACTTTATATGTCAGTGCATATGACACTTTTTGCTTCATGTGCTATCTACACTTTACACGATTGAGTTTGCAGGTGATTGTCTTACTGGCTTTGATCAAGTGGATATTGAGGAGGATAAATCTGTGTTGGCTTTCCTTCATCAATTTTGGGAACCTTCACAGTATTTTTATAGTATGGCAAAATAAAAATCCCCCAAATTCATTGTTTTGTAGTGAAAATTATAGCAGAATAAATATTTGTAAATATATATTTATATAGAGTCTGAATGAATTTATCATTTGCCTTATGAAAAAGATAATTTTCCCAATTCAATGTGTAAAAAAAGTAGATATCTTCTCTTGTTTTCCTGTGAGAACATAAAGCTTTTAAAGATGTATATAGTCAATGTCCTTTCTGTGAAAATATTTTTTTGTCATGGGGCTCCTTGCACTTGACATAATAGGGCCTCAAAATGTCTTAAGCCAGCAAGAAGATTTCATGGGAGTATTGCGCACATTTCACAATTACAATACTCATAAAATGACTATTACTAATCTGTTCATATCCCATATCTGGAAAATGTAAGGCTTCTATAACACAACAAAATCAGTGATAGAAAAATATGGATTAGGATTAATTGAACTATGACCTTTACCATCCAGCGGTAGTTGCTCTAGTCAGCCTTTGTAGGGTATTTCAAGGAAGACCCATGTGTTCAACATCTTTAATGGTTTGATATCAAGTACTCATATCAGTAATGTATAGAATGCATCTCTTCACAGTCTTTACTATATCTGAATGGCCAATGAACGAATGAATAAGCCACATCTTTACCCCATGGAAGATTGACACAGTGGTGGTCAATCTTCCAGAGTTCGATTCAGCGCAGGGGTGGGGAACCTATTTTGGGTCAGGGGCTGCTGGCCCACCAAAAAAATCCGTTGGGGGGGCAGAGGCTG